ATTCATTTGTTCTTTGATCATCAATAAATATTTCAAAAATATAAAAATATCACGGGAGTGTAATACACTGCATTCAAATTTCCTATACATTAAGCGATGTCTTTGAGATATACTTGAAAGAAAACAGTACTAATATTTTTAGAAGGATATCTGTGTGATATTTCATGGATGTAATATCTCACGATATCACGAAAATAACGTAAAAACGATATTATTTTACAATCAAATGATATCATGTGCCGTCTGGGTATATAGAGAGAAAGTGGGATTCGACTCTGAGACTGCGCATGCGACACATCGTGCTTCCTGCATCCTGTCCTTCACAGCCTTTTAGTTGCGCTTCTGCATAAGTATTTTCTTTTCTTTACCGCTTTTTGTACGCACTTATTACAAGTAAGTACGCCTTATTATCTAATACTACGCGCTTCGCTAGCCTAGTAACATCGGCCTGCCTTTGTTGGTGCTGTCCGCCGGGCACACGGCCTGTGGCCGCCATTTTTCCATTTTAACGTTCAAGTAACCTCACGAGCTAGTTGTTGCAAAGCCGTTTGCTCGCTCTTTTTGCGTCATGGACGCTAGCTTTGATCGGGGGAGTACTCCTTGGAAGCCTCCACTTCCTATGGAAGATTCTCCCCCAGTTAGCAAAGAGCAGGAGTCTGCCGGGGCTTCCCCTCGTTGTGGCCCTCCCCCCTCGCTAGAGCTAAGAAAAGACAGGGCTCTGAGCAGGCCTCAGCGGGAGAAAAGCGCGTTTTTTCCCCCTTCTCCGATACTCAACTCGCCCTTCGTGCCAACAGGTACTTGTCGGACTCCACTGGGCCATATTTGGTGCATATAGAGTGTGGAGTGTCCGGAGTACTTCGTAATGACAAAGACGGTGCCGGACCTAACCTGCCTGCCGGCACCACCAACGCTCTTAGCGTTCTCGGCCTGGGCAAAAGGCTAAACACCTTGCTTTATGACTTGTTCCAGGAGGCGTATGATCTCCGATCCATAGAAAGAAACAAATTTTCAGTTGTCTTCACGTCTGGAAAGTTAGCGAACAGCTTCGTCAAGTTCTTTTCATC